TGGTCAGTTGGGGTGTGGGGTCAGTCTGGGGGTGTGGGGGGTGTGGGGTCAGTGCTTGGGGGCAGTTTGAAACAGAGTTATGGGGTGTGGGGTGGGTCACAGATGTGGGTCAGGGATCTGGGGCTGGGTTATGGGGTAGGATGTGGGTCAGGGATGTGGGGCTGGGATGTGGGGCTGGGCTTAGGGTCAGCGGTGTAGGTCAGGGATGTGGGGGGTGGGATGTGGGTCACAGATGTGGGTCAGGGATGTGGGGGGGGGGATGTGGGTCACAGATGTGGGTCAGGGATGTAGGTCAGGGATATGGGGTGGGATGTGGGTCAGGGATCTGGGGCTGAGATGTGGGTCAGGGATGTGGGTCAGGGATGTGGGTCAAGGACTCTCCAGGGGTCCGGGCGCTATGGGGCAGCCCCACACCCACCCCAAACCCCCCCAGACCTCCCAGCACTGCCCACACCCCCCACAGCAGAGCCTGGGGTTCCCTACGGGGCTCGATGGGTTCCACCTCCATGGGGCCGTGTCCTATGGGGCTCTCAGTGGGTCCGGGCGCTATGGGGCAGCCCCACAGCCACCCCAAACCCCCCGCAGGCATCACGGCGCTGTGGTCCCTGGCCATCATCTCCTGGGAGCGCTGGTTCGTGGTGTGCAAACCCTTCGGGAACATCAAGTTCGACGGGAAGCTGGCGGTGGCCGGGGTCCTCTTCTCCTGGATCTGGTCCTGCGCCTGGACCGCGCCCCCCATCTTCGGCTGGAGCAGGTGGGGAGGGGGCTCCGGGCCCTGGGGAGGGGTCTGGGGGTGTCCCCGGGGGGTCACAGGGGGTGTTTGGGGTGACACGAGTGTCCCCAAGGTGTGGGGAGGGGTCCGGGCCGGGGTCCTCTCCTCCTGGATCTGGTCCAGGATTCGGCTGGAGCAGGTGGGGAGGGGTCTCCGGGCCCGGGGGAGGGGTCTGCGGGTGTCCCCAGCGGGTGTTTGGGGTGACCCCGAGGTTCCCGGGGGTCCCCAGGACCCGGAGCTTTCCCGAGGAGTTTTTGGGGGTCCCTTTTGTCACCCCGATGTCCCCCCCGGGCAGGTACTGACCCACGGGGGTGACCGAGAGCTCCTCAGGATGGGTCTGGGGGTGACCTGGGTGTCCCCAAAAACAGCTCTAGGAGGGTACCCGGGGGTCTCCCGGCCCCGGAACTGTCCCGAGGAGTTTTTGGGGGTCCCTTTTGTCACCCGAGCCCCCCCGATGTCCCCCCCGGGCAGGTACTGGCCCCACGGGCTGAAGACCTCGTGCGGGCCCGACGTGTTCAGCGGCAGCACCGACCCGGGGGTCCAGTCCTACATGGTGGTCCTGATGGTCACCTGCTGCTTCTTCCCGCTGGCCGTCATCATCTTCTGCTACCTGCAAGTGTGGCTGGCCATCCGTGCGGTGAGGAGACCCCTCCCCAAAAATCCCGGACCTAAAATCCCCCTCCCCAAAAATCCCGGACCCAAAAAACCCCTCCCCAAAAATCCCGGACCTAAAATCCCCCCCGGGAAAAATCCCGGACCTAAAAAAACCCCTCCCCAAAAATCCCGGACCTAAAATCCCCCTCCCCAAAATCCCGGACCTAAAAAAAACCCTCCCCAAATTCCCGGACCCAAAAAAACCCCTCCCCAAAATCCCGGACCTAAAATCCCCCTCCCC